ACTGAGCAACATTTTCATCACAACAACAGTCGGTGATGAAAGAGCTGCCTTAGTCACCTGCAGACAACCGAGGAGCAAACTTTAGACATCGTTTCAAGGCTCAATTCCAGTCCTACACTAAAACCTCGTATTATCTAAACTGCATAATTCAACAACATAAATACTTAAGAGTAGCTATGCCATAACAAAAACATACATTATCTGTTGCCATAGCAAAATACTAGATTCTGATTCACCTCTCAGATATACCACAAAAGACCAGGATAATCCCAGCCTTGGGAATACTGTGGGAACTTGAATTAAATCAACCCTTTTAACTTCTCCAATTAATCATATGCTACATGCAGTTTGTGGTACAGGGAAACGTAACATAACTGCTCTCCGTACAGATGTTGGAGCAATTTTTAAAGCATCAAGGTTGCAGTCAAGCAAGCGCATTTCCTTAAGAGAGAACTTTAAAAAGGCAAATTTAGAAAAGTGTGTTGAATAATTACAGTTACTACCCAGCACCCACTCACAGGGCAACTGAGTATGAGCTAGACCACCAAAGCTGGTCAGTCCTTCTCAAGAGCCCCTTCCGTGTGGCCAGTTAACACCAGGCACACCTCCCGAACCGACCATCCGCACTCTCCAAACCGCCTGTTTGCAGCAACCCCTTCCTGAGGGCTGCCTGCCCTCCTCCCCGACTGAGGAAGCAGCAGGACAACCCCGAGAACAGCGGGATGGCTGCGAATCCGCTCAGCAGGGCCAGAGACCGGGGCATTAACGACCCCGTAAAGCCTGCCTGCTCGCTCTCCGCTATCAGGTCTACCCTGCTGTCACCGTTCAGTATCACCAGCTCTGTCAGACATTCCCCACCACACGCTTGCAGTCCTGACCTCACCCCAGAGCCATCAAATTCTCTGGGCACGACTCCTTAGAGGAGCCAGATGTCCGATTCAAGAGAGCCAAATTAAAACACCAGTCTGAAACGCTAGGTCATTTCACTGCGTGTCCTACACGTCATCCTCTTTCCGAGTGCAGCAAACGAAGTCACACGTTCCCGTGTTTTCTGGCAAAGCAAGTTAATAGCCTTCGCCTCTCCTAAGGACAGTGTTTGCCTACTCTGTTTGGTTTTCTCTAGTCTAATTAGATGAGATTAAACTACTCGCATCTACACCTCTAGAGTACTATTACCTCATATTCAACACGTAAGTCCAAATGAAAAAACAGAAGTTTTCAGCACCATTATTTTTTTAAACAAGACTTGTCAAAAAATTGAAAACACAGGGAAAATCTGAAGAGTTTATAAAAATATTTTCAAATGTATGATTAACATTACACTACTTCTGCATGTCAATCTCTCAATGCTTTTCATAATAATACTTTAACTTAACGAAATACTTCTTCCAAGAGAAATCATTAGAGTGTTTGAAGTCAAGCGTTCATTCAGCCTTCTCGTTCCCCTTCTGACTCTTACGTAACTCCCCTGATTGACTCACAATCCTTGGTCTCATTTAGCACGGGACTTCCCATGAAGGTCAGCCAGTGTTTTAACCACATCTTTCACTAGTTTTATTTTTCCAGATGACCACAGAATTCTAGATTACCAATTACATGTGCTCCCCCCTCAAGAGGAAACAGTCTTCAATCACCATCTTCTCATTTGTTAGAGCACACCATCACACCATCTCTACAGAAGAGTGGTTCCCCAAACCATGCTTTCCAGACTGAAGAAGATCCCTGTCAACTGGCAAACTCCTCTTCTGCTTTTTCATATTCATTGGCCATTTGTAAGTTGAAGCATCATTTCCAAATATAACACGAGTTGTTTGTGGAAAAAAATGTGAAAAACATCAGAGGCAGAGGAATGACTCTGCTGAATTCATTCTGAGCTTCTCAAGCAGTATTCTAGCACTGGCGTGGTCAGACAGAACAGCACTAGCCGCGCCTGATACTCCACTCAGTACGCATCTAAAACAAAAGATGCGGACGTGTTACAGTTCGTAACTCACTCGTTCGAGTGAGTACTCCTTCTCTTACGACACTTCTCCCAGTAGCTCAGCTCTTCCGCCAGCACTGCAGCTGCCTGCTACGATGGTTAACAAGAGTGACACCCCAAGGCAGCAGCCCCGGGAGGTTCAGAATGACTCTGCTTCTGAAATTTTGCAGACAATGAGCCAATCTGCTGGGTACCTTTGTACTACTAGTGCAGATGTTTACCACCAGCAAGCAATTAGCAAGTGTGAATTTAAGGCTATTCCCGCTACCATCCAGAGAAACAGTGCAGCATTCTCCCCGCTGGATTCTATCAACAGTGGCTAGTTAATGCAAGGAAGCCATCACAACGGTCCGGCAGGGTGAAGTTCTTGTTGAACAACAACATAAGGGCCTTATTAGAAGAAATACGCATTTATGATTGGCAAGTATAATGCAGCGTAACTTTCAGATTCACCGAAAATAAAGAGGGAACCCCAGTTCAGGTGAACATCTAGAATTAAAGGCTACATAACAAAAAAAACCACACTGAACTCAATTTCCTACTTAAAGTCAATTGCATTGAAAAAAGATGGACACCAACTCAATTCAATATACATAGACCAAAATTTAGGGTTTTGAGGGTTTGTTGCTGCAGTTGGATGCAGAAGGCCAGAGGCCATATCCACAGCTAAAGACTACCTGAAGTGGTTCTGCTTCTGCTGTACCTCCGAACTGCAGGACATTTAAAACTTCAGGCTCAAGCACAGCATGAAGCAAGCAGAGTTCACAGAGCTGCTCTGCAGTTACTATTGTTACGTCTCTTTAGAAACCTCTCTTGGTCTTTTCTGAGGACAAAGGGAACACGGAAGAGGGGAAGAACTTTTTTGTTTTGCTCTTCCATTCTCAGTGCACAACAAATGACTTCACTCTTCAAACTCTTAGAATAAGCTTAAAATTGGACGCAAATGTTTCCTTCCTGGCAGTTTATATTTGGATTTTGGGACAATCTAAGATTAATGTAAAAAGGTCACTGGATAACGAATTAAACACTCCCCACATGACCATCATCAGTGCCACAGGCACAGGCTCTAGCTGCTCGTAACTCCGC